GCCTCGGCCGAAGATGGCCGACAGGATGTTCGTTTTTTGGAGGGGAATCCCCATTCGTCAGCCGAAGTCCCCAAAAAAGCACGAAATGTGTGGGCTTCGTGCGCTTCGTGTGCTTCGTGTGGCATTCGTTTGCGATATTTCCGATTTCTGCAGGACTAATCCTGGCTCCTGGCTGCTGGCTGATGGCTGCTGCTCCTGTTCCCAGAGCTCCCAAACTATTTGCATGGCCCACCCTCCCATTTGGCCGACACCACCAATGGGCGCTCGGCTTTCAAGGTCATCCGTTTTGACGGCCATTTTGAATGCACCCACTCACACACGCCTGCATTTCCTGGCCCAATGAGCTGGCCTCTACAGCCCACTCAGTTGCCTTGGCAACGACCTTCGGTAGGCGTCGCCTCGACATTGGCATTGGCAATGGCAATGGCATTGGCAGTGAATTTCCACTTGGGGGTTGTTGCAATTACCCCCCCAAGGTCATCCTTTCGCCATCAGCTGTTCGGCCAGAGTTGCCCTGCTGCCGCATAAATTCAAAACTTACCGCTAACCAAATGAACAGATCACTCACAGGCACAACAAAATCATTTCATTTAGTGCCCCATAAATTAATCAGTGAAAACAATAAAGATTTCAATATAATTTCCAACGACATCCGGTCGAAGGCGGCACCAAATTTGGCGGAGAGCAGCCACTTCGCCAAGCTCCACATTTGGTTGAGACACATCAACATATCTTTATATTCACACATATATACACAGACATATAGATTTAATTGGTAGGTATAAAAATGGAGCCTCAGAACGTAGAAAAAAAAATAATTAAGTCTAACAAGAAAGCTTGTGACTTAAGTGGCTTAAAAATGTTTACAATATTAGTAAAAAAAACAAGTCTTATCAGAAAACTATTTGCTTAGATGCTTTTTAAAATATAATTATGTACAAAAATATTTTCTAACTTTAAGGTTCATAAGCGAAGCGTTAGGAAGCGAAGCGTTAAACATATTTGTAAGTCTTACATTAAGGTAAGAAATATGTAACATAATATGTTTACATTAATCGAAACTTTAGCAATATACTAAATATTGCAAAAAAAAATTATACAACTCTTACACTGACTACAAGTATTTTTAATACTTATTTTTTTTAATAACCCATCCTCCTAAATATGAGTATTTAAATAATTATAAAATATTATACATTTATGTAAGAAAAATGTAACTTACATATTGTACTTAATATTAGAAAATACAATAACAAAATAAATTAACAAGCATTTACTATATATATCAATATATTTGGGGTACCCAAAAAAGTCACGATCAAATCAATTGCCTCAACTTACTATAAAATAAATACAGATTTAAATGCAATGTTTAAATGTCTATAATTCCGCTTATAACGATATATTTAACTCTATTGTAATGGTTAAAGCATTTAAACAAGAAAACGTGCAATAACAAACAAACCCATCCCCTAAAATAAGAATATTTCGATTGGAATTTCATTCGAATTGCTGGAGAGTTGGGCAGCTGGACAACTCCCATTGTTTGGCCCGCAAATTGAAATGCCAACAAAATGTGAATCATCTGATCAGATCGAACTGGCCCAGAAAAAGTGGTCTGCCATTCAATAAAGACACACAAAACATACACACATATATGTATGCCGAAACATTTTGGGCAAACATATACAAATATATACGTATGAATGCCACAATGGACAGAATAAAAATAAATGAAATTTCATTGTGGGATTTCATTGAACGCAAAATGCTCAATGAGAGAAATGTATGAATGTTGTTAGCTTTGATGGCTTTTTTCGTGCAGCCACCCAATCCGCGATAAATTTTCCACCCCAGACCATCAGTTTTTCCTGCCTGACGTCACAAGTGTCCTAGATTATCGCCGCAGTGGCAGAGGTAACACATCGGCCTCGAGGTGAAACGTATAAACATGAACTTTGGGAGGCGATTTCAGACAGTCAGTCCAAAAAAAAAAAAAAAACAAAATAAAACCGAATATCACAGCAGCACAAGTGGCAGCGAAAAGCACGTGCAAAATATATTTATTTGGAAGCCGTCTGCAATTGACGTCGCTGCTATTTGCTATTTTCGTTATTTTCGCCTAAGCAAATCCGTTCCCAATCCCACTTCCGTCCGACGATTGATATTGATGGCTTCTGCCAATTACTCGGAGTTTTAATTTTGAATTTCCGGAAAAAAAGTTTTTTCTTAGAACCAAAGAGGTCAGGCAATTTAACCATTTCCGATTATTTTTAAACTTTTGCGCAATATTGGGAGGTCGCAAATGTTCCATGCTAGATTAAAAGTAATGATGAATTAGCTGAACAGCTAATCAACTGTTTAAAAGAGAAAGACAAGATAAGCTGGCTTCATATTTAAAACCATATTTTAATTAAATTTTATTGCATTGATAACATTAAATAAGGTAAATAATTAACGTGCTTATAATGGTAACTTTATTCACAAATTTTCAAAGATATTTATACTGTTCAACAAAAAATATACACTTAATTTTCTTACTAAAGCTTAAAAAGGAACATCACAATTTTAAAATTAATTAAATTTTAAAAATTTACAACATTACAAGCTAAATATAATTTTAAAATTGTCCTCCAGACTTGAAGACATTTATACTATTAAATATAAGTTAAAGCTCAATTAAAATAAAATTAAATACTTTAAATCAATGAATAAATTTATTATTAAAATATCGTTCGAAAAGGACATAATTGTAATATTTTTAAACCAACCTAAAAAACTACTTAACATTGTAATGTCCATTTTTCTTTCTTTTAAATCATTAATTTAATATTGTGTAAATACTTCGGTCTTTGTAATCCTTTGTAAATCACATTTCTAACCTATAAACTACTTCAAACTTCAACATTATATTTTTTTATCTTTTAAATTAAGAATGTAAAGGCATTTAAAATATTGTATAATTACTGTACCTTTTTAATTCTTTAATTAAATCACATTTTTAAGCGGAGTATAATTTTGAGCATAAGGACCATGTCAGTTTGTCATTTAACTTTTATTTCACCTCATCAGAGAAATCCAAGCAAGGGCATTCAACTGACCATGGAGTCCCTCGCCAGGCGATTCGTTTTTCTCAATGAACCAAAAGCCGCCCACGCGAAAAACACATCAGCAACACGAACAGCAGCAGCAGCAGCAACAGCAACAACCCGCAGCAACATCAGCAACACCAAAGGACGTAGGATAAAGGATGGTGAATGGTGAATGGGGCGGCAAATGGGGGCCAACACTTACCTACCACAGCCGCAGAGAATGTTGCCCTAGTTCCACACACAGCCCGTGCTTCGTGTGGATGCCATTTTGGCCGTATAGGTTCGCCTTGTGAATGAAAATCCTTGTTCGCTTTCGCACAGGAGGGTGTATTTTCCTTTTTTAGCCACGACGGACGGGGAATGCCATTCTTGAATTCTCCATCCATCTTCGCGCATGTGTGTGCGTGTTTTGGCCAAGGCAAAAGTGGCAAAGTTGGCCAGGAAAATCAATGAATGAACCACAAACGAGACACGTAGCCAGCGAAGGATGTTTATATGTTTAGATTTCTACATATTTTTCCTCAATGAACGTTGAGTTTTACTTATAGCAAAGAAAATCTAATTTCCTTAGCCATTTTTACAGCACCTCTTGCCATTTAGAACGCAATTACGTGCCAGAAATAACGTAATGCGATACGAAGGCACTTGCAAACTTCTACGAACACTAGGTGCTTTGAACTTTATTGCACTTTTACGAGTCGGTTTTGATTAATTCATTTGGGCAACACATCCGGTCATTTTTATAATTCCTAGAATCGGTTTTTAGCAGGTGAATTGGATATAAAAAATTATCAATTGAAAGGCACAATCTAATAGCAGAGAAATTTGCAAAAGTTGCAAAAGAAAAACCATTAGCACTATTTTAATTATTTCTTAGAATATAATACTGCTATTGATTGCACTTTTATTGTTAAATGTAAAATTTTTATAAGATGAAATGAAATATGTTAATAATATAACTATAAACTAGACTGATATGTTATTGTGTTAACGATAAGATGATATGATATAAGATAATGATAGCAGTAAAGTAAGTCGCTTAATAAAATTTTCTGCGCTGTGGCTTAACAAACCAACAAAATTAATAATTACAATTTTTTTTTAAAGATTTACGAGGAATTGTTAAACAATTCTTAACACAACAAACATAAAAAAATCTTTAAATCAAAGGTCGATAAAATTATTGAATAATAATTATTTATACTGAGTTTATTACGCGTAAAGAATGTTTCCTATAGTATTAATATTAAATTTCATTCATCTATTGTAAAAGAAAGTCGTTTTATTTTTAATATGATTACGCTTAATATGTCATTAGTTCAGCTTACCTTAGTCCTTAATTGACCCGCTTAAGTAGCTTATCCCATTTCAATCGACAGTTTTTCCTTGACAAAGTCCAACCCCTCCGGCAATAGCAATATCTGCCTGAAGTTGGCACTTGAGAGAACATTACCACGAGGACGAATGGATGCATATATCCTGCAGCAGAGCACTTGGAACTTGGAACTCAGGGCACTTGAGCCCATTCAGCCCAGCAGTTTGAAGGATACTTGCGCTGGCAGCATTTGCGTCATTCACAAAACTGCGGCTCGTAACTTTGCCACATACATTTAAGAGTATGCAGAGTCCTGCGACACAATTGTCCTTCCAGCGGCAGTCGGGTGAATGAACCTGCTCGGCGGATGACCCAGTTTTTTGGCTGCAGTAGCAGCAGCAGCAGCAGATTCTCCTCCATTCATCGGCATCCTTGTCGCGTTCAATGACACAAAACACAAAACACCAAGCACAAGTTGCGCATGCCAACTAGGTCAATATCCTTTGCCGTGACGTCACCAGTGACACAGTTAACCCATCCCAGCCCAACCCAAGCCCGTCTGCATATTTTACTCATTTCTTTATCCGTTGTACAACATTTTTATGCATTTTATTCTAAGTTGGCTCTAACAAAAATCGCAGGCTAAAAATGGATATTCGCCATAAAGCGTTTTACAAAAATTTGATTTAAAACCATTATAACAGAGTTCTTCAAGCGACAACTGCGATATGACAATATACGGCTACACAGCTGTAAACCATAAAAATGAAACTAAGCTTAAGAGAAACGATCCTTCCTCTTTTCTTTAAAAAGAAGGACACACCACAAGCGCACAGTCTGTAGTTTTTGTAGATTAGTTTTCTTTTTTAGCGAAAATCTCTCGTCCCGTTGTACGTTTGCAAAATTTGGCAAGCGAATTCGCTTATAAGATCTCGAAGAGCTTCTTCAGCTCCACCATCAGCGACCAATCGGCCTTTATTAGGTCATCGCGGAAGTAATCCTTGCAGGCATCAATGCTCTGGCGAGAGATCTGCAAGGGAAAAGACAAGAAAATGATGTAAAAATGTTGAATATGAAATTCAAATTCATAAACTAACAACTTAAATGTTGTCATAGAAATTTTATAATATATATATTTTTATAAGCACCACATAATTTATGACAATCTTAGATATTTTGTATTTAACTTAAACCAGCAAATACTGCTACTTAATATTTAGGTTACGCAATTTTCTACGAACCATGCTTGCTGATTGTCAATTTGATAAAATCAAAATAATTAAAAGTCCATTAAAACTCATGAAGACAGACCCAAAGTGAAATTGTAATAATATGCATATTAATAACACGCTGTGCTACACATAAATCATTTGCATTTTGAATTCAGCAAAAATGTATAAAATTGGAACGTGCCAATTGTCGTAACTCCAAAGGGAGATTGGGGACCGGGGACCGGGGATCGGGAATCGGGGATGTCTGCTCCATCAATCAAACCACGGGGCGGCACGTGTCTCCAGTAGTTTTTTTACCCCCTTCCCCCCGCAAACCCGACATATGGCGCATAACAATTAAAATCATTTTCAACAATACTTTTTTTCAACTTATTTCATATCCGATTCAATCCGAATTTATATACTTTATGCGCCCCTTGGCAACGCTTTATCGAAGCAATTTTAGTGTCGCCATTTTTTATGGCGCCTTTTTAATGCGTTTTTTAATGCCTGGCATTTATGGCCTGAAGTCTGAAGACCTCATGAATAGTTCCACTTTCAGGCCCCCCAAAAGTCTGATTTCTGATTACAGCACGCCCTTGATAAAGACAGCACTCTGTCCTTTGTCTGTTTTGTTGTTGTTCCCCCGCTTAATTATTATTTTTATTTTCATTCTTATCCCTTTTTATATTTCGATTTCTGTTTCTTTTTTTGGCGCAACGCATATTAATTAGGCTCTCGATCAATGGTTTTGATTATTGGAGCCGTATATATTTATGTACAAAAGATTTCTCTAAACGATAAGCGCGGAATAATGCCGCTCAAGGAGTCCGCATTTATGGCCCTGCATATTAAATGGGTAAATGGCTAAATGGCTAAATGACGCGTATTTTGTCCGCCGTCCCAGAGTTGAAGGATATCGTTAAAGACAGAGCCTGAATTTAAGTAGAATTGATTGGTTATCTATGCCAGAGAATGGCAGAGTCTAAACGGAAATTTATTTGACTTGCTGATTTAGTTTTACAGCCCATCAAGTTCTGGACTTCAGAAAATTTTTTGCGTAAGAAAAATACATATGATACTGAAAACATAAGTAATTAAAAAAGCATTATTTTTTAATTTTGAAAGCATCGTCCTTAATAATGATTTCAAAGTTACAAAAATATAATGCTTTTTTAATACTAAACAACATAAAAATATTACATCTATTATAGCAGATAAATAAAAAAAAGATCGTAAAGATTAAATGAAATGAATAAATTAATAATAATATTATTTAAGCAAAAAAATTATCACAATTTTCTAAATATGTACTACAAAAACATCATTTTTTTAACTTTAAAAGTAAGAACATGATCATAAATTTAATGTGTACAGCAAATACCAAAAAAAGACAGTCAAAATTCAAAATCTTAACTTAAGAGATGATTAATGTAGAAATAAACCATTGCCTTTTAAGTGTTAGGAGTTTGCTAAATTCGAACTCATATTTTAAATGCTAATTAATAGAGAAATAAACAATATCCGTTAAAGGTTTATCACTGCAGACTTGAATATCAAAAGCCTTTCTTATATAGAACAGATTTTTCGCATTAAAAAATCAAGATTATTAATAGTAACAACTATATAAAAAAAATTCAAAAACTAATACACTTAATGCAGAAAAATATAGAACAAGATCAGAAACTTTAATAGATATATTGCTATGAAACAGGAAAAATTAAAAATCATAATTTAAAAGAAAATGAAATGAGAACTAAGCCATAAACATTTAAAGGTTTATCCCTGCATAATAGGACTTCAATGGCCTTTTCTGCATAATGGATGCATTTACTCGATTCCAGTGAAATTTACCCCAATTAGTTTCCACTGAAAGCCCATTTAGTAGAGCTCCCCCCCGCACAATCCTAATCTCGGCTAATTGCTGCTATTTTTAGCTCTGGCCAAAGGCCTTGTCCAATTTGGCGAGTTTAACCCGCAGCCGCAAGGCCGAAACCAAAGTCGTCTATGGTTGACCTCAGCTCCAATTTTCAATGGAGCTTTGGGGGGATTGGGTGCTCTGCACTATGCTCCATTTTGGGTCGCCGAATGCGTCATAGCTGATAAAAGGCAAGTAGTGCACAAATTAAAGCCAAAAAAAAATGAAAAAAAGAAAACCGAACCCACTGCAAAAACACACACAGCTCCACACACACAACAACTGGGTCGACATCCGAGGAAACTGGGTTAGCTCGATGATGGTGACGATGCTCGGAACTCAGAATTCAAAAGGTCATTGAACTATGCAAGTGCATTTCGTCGTGGAAGGTAAAACGTGACGTCAGCGGGCGACTCGACTCGGGTCAAATACACACCGCTATATATACTATATTTATCTGGGTGATGGGATCTGGGAGACATGGCCGCATGCATAAGTTCGTATCATCAGGTCAGCCATGACATAATACCCTTTCATGGCTCCCAGGTTCTTGCCAAGGCATTAAGTTCTATAAATAGACGGGGAGTGTGTCAATTGGGTGGTGGCTGGTTTCTGCTGGTGGCATCCAACTTGATGGCTTTTGACGGAGGCTGCACTGCGAAGACCCCAAGAGGTTAACGACAAGACCACAATCCAGCAATAAGCCACAACCATTGAATAATACAATACATTATCGAAGCATCATTTTAAAATTTCCATTAATTAATTAATAAGGAATATTAAACGAAACTATTTTTAGGAATAAGGAATTATGGCTTCTGTGTTATTTATACCCATCTGCACAAAACACATAACTATTAAACTGTATAGGTATTTTTACAATCTACAAGATGCAGCTAATAAACGTAACAATTTTTGGGCAGTGCAAACTTTATCATTCAATTTGTGGGCCTAAAATACATCTATTCATCTTTATTTTTACGCAGCATTAATTGAATAAAGCGCGCTGGCTGGCAACTCGATGGGCAATTAGCGACGCCTGGCCTTTTGACGTCACCGATGTCACCCGCTGATAAGGGACGAAAAATAAATCGAAAATTAAGTTAGCTATCGATTTTGGTTTTCAGCGAAACACCACCACCCTCCCTTTTTTTTTCCACCCAATCGCCCACTCTCATCAGGGGCGCTTGACGTCAGAGCTGGTAAGTAATTGTTAATCAAATGATTGAACGAAAGGAAGTTGCAAAGACCTTTCAACGCCACTTAAGCGAGTTAAGTCATCTCGTCGAATGGCAGTTGTCGAACGGCATTCGATTCGATTCGATATTGTTGCCACTTAACACTTAACACACAACCTGGCCATGTAATTTGATAAGCCAAACTGGCCGAGGTGGAAGTGCCCAAGGTGAGGTGTTTTTGTTTTTGGAAGTGGAGTGGGCTTGCACCTGGCCAGCGATTCCACCCAACCACCAAAACCACCCATTCACATTCGCCCTTCCAATTGACAACTGCTGTTGAACTTAAGTGATTTGCACTCGAACTTGTACCGAATATTAGCCAGACCCTCCCAGCAATCAAAGTAAAATGATGGTAATTGGCTTTAATTCAATATTATTCTTGTATCTATTTCAAATTTGATAGTAGGACTTCTTAGTCAATTGGCCTAAATGCACTATTATTCTAACAAACGTTTTAATTAATTTGGAGAGTGTTTGGTTTCTTGATACATTTATTGCAAATTGAATGGGAAAATAAATTGATTTAAGTGGAAAGGTTATTGAAAAAGGTTAATTAGAATGCCAAGTGCATTTAAACTTCTGAGGGAATTCTTTTAAAATTAAGTAAACAGGCATATTTGATTTTGTCTGATGAAAATAAGAGTTTTTCTAAATGTCATTCATCTGGAGATATATTTATTGGAAATTGATTGGTAAAATTAGTTACTTAAAGTGTGAACGCTGAATAACGATTGTATTTGGAATCTTGAAAAAAGTATTGAGTATAAGAACATATATTTTGAATACTTAAAAAATTGACCAACAAAGCCGCTAAATGAATGTAATTGTTTTTCCCAATAAATTATATATCTCAACCAACTTAAATGTATAGAATATAACACTCTTTTTAGCTAAAACCATTAAGAAAGTTCTATTTTTAAACTAGAATTTACTCATAAGCATTTAAAAACCAATTACCCACTGTTTGATAAACAACAAAGCGCTGTAATTAAAAACGAACAAAAATGAGGTTACAACAGCCCCACTCCAGATATCTAATCCAGCCATAAACATCTACCACATGCCCCACAAAGCGATGATATTGCCGTTCCCAACTTCCCGACAATAACGCACTCGAGTCGAGTCTATCTTGAGTTCTAAGTTGATTCTTCCGCTCCCGTATACTAATAAATTTATTGCCAGTCTTTGGTGGTTTTGTTTTGCAGCCAAGGAACCTCAAGTGGCTGGCTCTTCAAAAACGATTGATATTGATTTAAACTTACCTTGCTGATCAGCATGTCCTCGGCCTCAAAGTGGCGACCAAACATTTTGGGCGATTCACCGGGAATCGGATCGATCTTGACGCAAATCTCTTGACCCTTGCGCGCCGATTCGATGTTCTTATGATTCGATTCGATGGAAGTCACAATTCCAATGTCCACAAACTGCAATCACATAAAAAAGAAACAAAGAAAGAAAGAAGAAATTAGTCAGAGAAATTGTGAAAGTGTTTTGCATTCGTGGCTTAAGGGGCGTATTTGAAATATAGCGGCAAACTAGAGAAAAGGGGGTTTTATGGGCTGGGGACTTCCGCATGTCATCTACTGAATCGCTGATAAGTTTCGCCAGCTCATTTCATATGCCAAAGCCGTAAAATAACTCCACGTTAAACGCTAAATAAAAGGTTTGCAAAAAAAAAAATGGGGAAAAAAAGTAGAATAGGCCGAGTGGGTGGGTAAATGGATGGGTGGGCCTTATCAGCGCATCTGGCGCGAGTTTCATGTGCGGTGACCTCTTCCTCAATTCCACTGATAAACTTGTGGGTGGATAGTTGTCTGTACACTGCTCTGTTTCAATGTATTTTTTGTGGAGTGTAGTTGGGTTAACTAGATAGCATTTAAACCAAACTCTGCCAAACTCACTGCTAAAAAATCTTAAATTAAAAAAATAGTAACAACAAAAATTGGAAACAAGATCAATTGAAAATAAACAAACAATTTAAAAAGTCTTTGAAAATCTAAGCAAGAAATTTGTAAAATAACATTTGAAGATTTGAGAAAATTTTTTTTTAGTCTTGATAATATAAGTAAAAGCTGAAATGAAATGAAAATATATACATTTTAAAGGCTTTATTACCAAAAATAAATTAGTTCAATGCTCTATAAAAATTAAAGCAATATATATTTGTATTTTAAGCTTAAGTTAATTAAATGCGTAATAACTATAGACATTTTTTGACTACTATAAATAAGTTCTAAATTCTTTCTAGAACCAATAGTTTTCTCAATGTGCATTGCGCTCCTATCACGATGGCCTAACAAAGTCATTGAACCAAATTGTAACATGTTTGTTGTCGTAACCCGTTTGCACTCGACAAAAGCAAAAAGCAAAAACAAAACAGGAAACTGTTGCCAACGTCGCGTTTCCTGTGGGCGCCCCAATGGCGGTCGACGTCGCTGTCGCTGCCCTCGTTCGTAGTTCGTATTTCATTCAAACCAAATAAATTATTGAAATTTTTTTCTCTTCTTTTTTTTTTTATTTGTTGTTGTTGGCCTGTTGCTATCGGTGCAAATAGCTACATAGCACATTTACACACCCTCTAGAAGGAGGGTGAAAGAGAGGGGGGCAGCATTTGTCACCATTTCCTGTCGTTGATTACTCATACGCCCCGTTCCACGTCTTCCGCTGCTGTTGCGACGTCTTCGTGTTTTCGCGCGCGCTCTCTTCGAAAAATTTTCATTAAATGTGTTAATTTATTTCCATTTCCACACAATTTTTTTCTTTCAACATTGCGCTTCTGCGGTGCGAGCCGGCAATTTTCGTCTTTTATGAGAGCAACGAAATCATCCCAGTGGGGGATATTTATGATATACAGATAGATATGGTGTATGGCGCGTAGGAATGGGGTGAAAAAACAGCCCGGTCCATACCAAAATCGTACGAAATGATGAGAGGAGAAATTGATGGGCCTGTTGATGCAAGTGGCAAAAAAAAACGACTTAAAAGGAGATATATTCCAAATTTACTACACACATTTAATTCTGTACTAAAACAAAGGAAAAGTATTTAGGTTTTAACGACTCTAAATAAATAATTGACTATTAACAAAGCACAACAAAGCTTTTAATAGAAAATATTTCTAATTGATGATTTACTCTCAAAAAAAATTAATTAAGCAGACTAAAAAAAAAAATAAAAATAATGCCCTTTTTATTTAATTAGTCTGCTTTAACCACAATTAAGAATACTTGTAAAATAGTTAACGATCCTCTTTGTATATTTTAATTATCAAATAAAATAAGTTTTTAGCCCATTTTTATTGAATTACTCTATTTAATCACAATTTAGAACAACCAAAAATAGTCCAACTAAATGGGGATATATTTTCTGATTTCGATGCCAAAGAAAACAAATTCTTTATTGGGCATCGAGAAAAAATTCGATGGCCGTCTCGTGTCGCCGAAAAACCCAAACAAGTTGACTACGAAAACAAGATTTTACATGCAGCTTTTTTCGGTTCGTTTCGATTTTGTTTTTTTTTTTTTTTACAACATTCTGGCCGGCAGATCGTTTGACTGAGTGTGTGTGTGTGTATTGGCGTTTATCTAAAAATATGATTTATATATTTGGTGCAGACCGGATGTCGTCTATTTTCGAAAAAGCGCTGCCTTGTATGAATAAACGTATGAAAACAACAAATCGAAAGCGAACACAAAACGAGATTGAAAACAATTTGGCTTTTTGTGAAATGTGTGATAGAGGGATTGTCTCTGATATCATTATTTCTTTTTTTTTCATTTTCGGGTAACGCTAACATTTTAGTGACACAATTCTCTGATTTCTTTGCAGCTTGTTTATGCTGTTGTCAGCAGGAAACACTAAATTAGTTGACCGTAGAGGGAATTACCCCATATATATATATGCACACATTTATATGTGTCAAAGACGAAAATTCGCAACATCCGTCGAGCGGGGTGGCTCCAAAAAATTATTATCTTTTTTTTTTGTCATGGCCTTTCAGTCTGAGCAGCTGCAACTTCGAGTGGCCTCCGAAGAAAAAAAAAGGAAAAACAGTAGCCACATCAATTCTTCCAATCTCGGCTGCCGGTCTTGGATTTTACCCAACCAACTGATCTACGCTTTTCAAATGAGCCCACAAACTTTTGCCTACGTCATGCTTTTCAAAGGAACAGAGGGAAAAAGAACTTGTCGAGTTAAGCCCGCAAGCCCCCACAATTTGAGGAAGCATTTATATAGTCATCATCTCTGTGATCGCCATGAACATGATCACGATCCATCCGTCCACGGACCACCAGATAACCCCACTCATCTGGCTGCCCACAACATTCGAAGGAGGAGGAGTTTTCAGATGGCAGATGGAAGATGCAAGACAACCTGGTGAGATCTTGGTAGCCGAATAAGTTGGCAGGGGAAATCTCGAAAGAGTAGGTGTGCAGCAGGGCTGCAAAGTAAGAAAATATGATAGAAATGCTTTCCATATTTAAATCTGTTTGTGTCGAGGAACATAAAAACGTTCAGGTATTTGAGCTGTAAATATATATTCAAGAATAATAATTTAACTAGTCATTAAACATTTCCAAATTTTAAAAGTTTTCGTTATCTAGTGTTGAAACGTTTTTAGTGGTTCAAGATATTCCAGTATTGAACAGGGGAAAGAAAAATGAATTAATCCTAATCTAGTGTTCAAAATATGTTATTGATAAGAGATTGGATGTTTGCGCAAGCAAGTCATTCATTAAGCCTTAGAAAATGATAAATAAAAGTTAAAGAGTCACCAGAGTTTAGTGTTGCTTAACTCTCAATAAAAGTATTTTCGCAACTATCCTATTTTTAAAAAATGTCAAACAATCTTTTTACTTTTAAGTTTATATGAAAATAAGTCTGTAAGGTATTTCTGTCGTTATCCATCCCTAAGATACTCCCAAACTTGGCAGACTCGACCGGAGCCCATCTGGAGTCATGCAACGCCCAGCGACATGGCTTTCAACGGCAATAACAATGCCAACAACACCTACCAAATGAGCCAAAACAGACCACTCTGAGCCATCCATTCAACGCCATCATCGTCATCGTCAGCAGAAGTCTAGTCATGCTCATTAGCATCTCGAATCTTGAGTCTCGAATCTCGAAACTCCAGTGCAGCGGACGCCCACAATCAACACTTGGTAAGCAAAACTCGTAGGAGGCCGAAAAGAAAATCTTTCACTCACAGGAAGTTGGTGGGCAAACCTCATCATCATCATCATCATCATCATCGTCATCGTCAAAATTCAAACCTAGGCAAATCCCAGGTGGGTGTTTTGTTGCCAAGGTGCTAAAGACCTCCGCTGATTAGAAATGATTAGCGGACGGAGTAGAGTATATCTGTATCTGGTTGTTGTTATTAGATTCGTAGTTTGCGCCACTCGAGAAGCGAAAATTAAAGCCCATTGATTATTGTTTAATTTGTTTGGGTTAACGCCGTGTGTTATCGGACATCGGAAATACTTGATAGATACAGGCCAGCTGCGCGGCATATGGCCATTAATCAGTTGTGTCAATAAAGTGAGCTCCATCCTCTAGCCTCGCCTCTATGTATATTAATCCGAGTGCAAAACAATCAATTATGCGGCCAGGTGAATGAAATTGATGCATCAGTTTGATGAACAGCGATGGCAATCGAACAAAGCATATATAAAAATACACCAAATGCGATAAGAAATCGTAAATGCAAGTCCAATTTGGACTCTGCTCTGGAGGAAGTGAATGCGAGTAGTTGAGGTTGAGTAGGTGAGTTATCAGCCAAATTCGTATCAAGTTCAATGCCTGACTTAATGGCTATTATTAATATTTTCCTGATTGGCTGGCCTAGGAGTCGTCTTCAAGGTTCTGGCGCCTCACTGAGCGACCATAAAATATTATTCCATCGACGGTTTTTTCCCTCCACGCCATATAAAATAATACATCAAGTAGATTTGCCCTGTTGGTTTAAAGTAGAGTGTGCGGAACTTGCTTATTTCACCACCCACTTGAAGTTGAGGAAACAAATAGTAAATTTTGTCTGGAGATTTAAGGAATTTTTATAATAGTATTTATATCTAATGGAAATTTTATTAATTAAAATTTCAAAAATTTAAATCTTACTATTTAATCGTGGGATTAATTTAATATTCATCTTACTGAGAAATTTTTAATTTCCAATAGTTAAAAATTCATGTAACAATAGTTTAGTTTCTATAACAATTTTTTTTTGGGAATACCCTCCAGTATTTGTAGACAATTTCTTTATCCTGACCTGTACTAACCCTTTTATCTGTCAACATAATCGGCCTTCTCAAACAGATGTGAATTATTACGACAACTGAAAGGAAATCGCAATTCTAGAAAAAGTCATCAGCTGAATCTTGCCAGACAATTTGTCAGCCCTTTTCTGCTGCCGGTTTAT